TCCCAATTTCCTTCAGAATATGATTTTCCAGAGAATTAAAATTGACATCATTCGCGGTAACTTTTAATATTTTTATACAAAAACAACTTTTCACTTGATATTTGAAGGACGTTTTAAAATTTAAACGATATGTTGTGAGTCCCCCATGCCTACATATATTTTGGAGACGGTTCTAATGCAGTTTACCGCTAAGTTAGTAAGGATCGCGACACGGTCACAAAAGTTTAAAGTTGTGTTGACAAAACATTAAATGTTCCTTATGACGTCATACAAATGTATGTTGCACCTTACCCCGACGTTTTAAGGTTTTCATGGAACAAATTTTTAAAATGGTACACCACAACTTTTGACAATATAGTGCAGCGCTGCGAGATTCGAGTGAAATAAAATAACTTCCATAGAAAGGAGGGTACATATGTGTAAATATACATATTTACTCTGCGGGCTAGGGTATTCCGACGTATAATAATTTTTCCTACACCACTATGGTCTGGGCATTAAAATTAAGGCCAGCTCACCATAAGCTTTGTATGCAAAATTGGCTTTAATTTTAATGCACAGACAATAGCCTCTCTTCATTATAGATTTAATTGTAAATTTCCACGAATTCTTGAGAGGCATACGCAAAGTTTAATCAACATGGAAGGTTCGTTTCGACGAAAACAATCAGTTTTGTATTGATTTAGACAAACTGAGTGGTCATTATGAGGAAGCAGTAGTTACCACATTTTCTCAGAAGGAGGTCTACCGAAGCAAACTCCATTAACTTTAATAATTGGGTTCTCAAAAACAGTTCTAAGAAATGTAATTGTTTACAGCAGATAGCGTTCCACTATAAATACAGAGGTTGGAACATCCTTACGTGGAAATTTTCAACAATTTTTTATACGTACAATTGAATTTTTTATGTAAAACTTGCTCGAGTGATGGCTCCTGTTGTTAACTATAAGATTGCATCGCTTTTTCCATGCTGAAAAAATTCTTTGCACTTTTCTGGGATTACTTTCTTCCATTCATCTCTTAAGATGTCCAAAGTCCATTGAGAGTCATTGCTCGTCAGTGAAATACTTCCTGTTTTAGAAATCCAAAAAAATATAGCTGACTTGACAGAATGTCTAGATTTTTTATGAGAGTTCTGCACCAAGATTTTCTCGTATCATTTTGACGAACTGCTGATTTTTCTTAGAAGTATTGGATGATGTTTTGTCACGATGAATGAACACATTTTCCTCCACCTCGGGTTACAGATTTGTTATTTCCTTTTAAACCAATTGTCGTAATACGTCTTCAATATATCGATCTGCATTTATTTCAACATTTGGTTGGACTATTATTAACTGGAGGCGAATTCGCCGGGACAATGCACTGATAACCATGAGTGGGCTACCAAACCGTTACTCGTGAAGTTTTGACTTATTCCTTATTATTTTTCTCAAATCTCTTTTAATTGCTCACTTGGCAGCTTTTTGATTGCAATTTACCAGTTTGGCTATACTGCTAATGCTACGGGGATTTTCTTCATTGGTTAAATAACTTTTTTTATATTGTTGTACAATCGGCAATGGCTTGATATTTCGTTGGTGGCAACTGACCCAGAGTCTTACATTGCCTTGTAATCCCTTCACAGTTAACGATTTTATAAATTAATGCCAATTAAACCTTTGTCATGGCCACGTGATTTAAGTTTTTTTTATGGCACTATCGGAACAAACTTGATTGGAAAGGTTTTTGACTAGAACCATAACTTCGATTGAGTAGGGTGTAGTCATTGTACAATACTATCTAACCAAAAAATTTCAGGAGGTGTCTATTGGGATTCTTTACCTAATTTTGAAAACCAATTTGAATTTGATTGATGCGCGTATGACCATGGTAAACTCAAAAATTTCCACGCAAAGATGTTCCAACCTGTACATATGTAATTGTCTTTCTAACGATAGTTGCATAATGTGAGTGGACCAGCTGGTTCATATAAATATATAATTTGTGTAATAACTAGGTTTTCATGTTGTAAACATCTTGTGTAACGAATGACACATAGTGATCGATTCAAGACATGATTAGTAGATATTACAACAACTTGTTCATTATTATGAAAATATCCTTGGACCATTTGCTGCAACACATTTTGTCGAAACGATACATAAAATACCACAGCTTTATTTGCTCTGTACCCATATAAAGGATGTCCAGGAAATAGAGGATCTGTTGAAAAATCGATGCCAGTAAAAACATACTGGACGGATTTTACTAAAAATGCATACCTGCGTTCTTCAATGTCTCTACGAATTAGAAATATCGGACATTGCACGCCTTCAAAAATTTGCACATTTCTTTAAATTCAGTGCAGAGGTGAGTTGGATATTCATAATTATGGATAATCCATTATCCAATCCAATCCAAATGGACTTGGATGGATTGGATTTTTTTCAAAAATCCAGAAATGGATTTGGATGGATTGGATTTTTTTCCAAAATCCAGAAATGGATTTGGATGGATTGGATTTTTTTTCCAAAATCCAGAAATGGATTGGATGAAATTAGTATATGGATGTGGATTTTCTCCAAGTCCATACTAAAATTCAAGTGGTTAAAATGGAGTCCAATGTCTCAATTTAGACATGCACAAGCGCGATATGATACATGCATAAAAGTCTGTTTATTTTATTGTCCAGCAGTGATGTGTTGGATGGATGTCCAAAATCGTAAAGTCTATTACCCTTGACCTAGCTTATGACATTGGAACACCCCTTGAATGTCGCCATGTATTATGTGACCTGTGCACACCCCCTGAATGTCATCACGTGTTGTGTGACCTGTGCACACCCCCTGAATGTCTTAACATGTCGTGACCTTGGTACACCCCCTGAATATCTTAACATGTCGTGTGACCTGGGCACACCCCCTGAATATCTTAACATGTCGTGTGACCTGGGCACACCCCCTGAATGTCTTCATGTGCCGTGTGTCCTTGGCACACCCCCTGAATGTCTTCATGTGCCGTGTGTCCTTGGCACACCCCCTGAATGTCGTCATGTGTCGTGTGACCTGGGTACACCCCCTGAATGTCGCCATGTATTCACTTTCACGAGAAGTGTGACCTATACATCCCTACCATTGTGCCGGCTAGTGAGCACTTAAACAGAGTATGGATAATCCATTATCCAATCCAATCCAAATGGATTTGGATGGATTGGATTTTTTTCCAAAATCCAGAAATGGATTTGGATGGATTGGATTTTTTTCCAAAATCCAGAAATGGATTTGGATGGATTGGATTTTTTTTCAAAATCCAGAAATGGATTTGGATGGATTGGATTTTTTTTCAAAATCCAGAAATGGATTTGGATGGATTGGATTTTCCAAAACCAGGATCCAACTCACCTCTAATTCAGTGACAATTTTATACATAACAATTTATTTTTGTGAATATTCTCGACAAAAATATATATTGCTAGACAGGAAATAAGAAATAAACATGTGGCATAAGAACAGATACCCTTCTGTCCTATTATGAGGAAGAAATGGTCAGTATTATGTACGAGGGAAAATCAATAGGTAGAGTGAATATATTTTTTAAAATTTAGTAACACCTAGCTACTGTCTATGAAAAATGTGCAATTTTGTGTAGTATATAAGATTCTTTGATAATTTTCTGAAAATTTGTGTGCCTGATGAAGATTGCAGCCTACAATTGAAAGCTTACCAGTTCCAATAAATAATCAAAAAATGTCTTCCGATACCGTTAAAATGACTACTCATAGTAATGGATGATGGAAACAACTAACAAAAAAACTAGAGTGAATATATTTTTTCTTGAAAAGTGCACATATTTGGCAAAATATTTTTTGATGATGTTGAACTGCAGAATGTTTGACATTCTCCATAAAAAAATTGGGTCGTTTCGTTTATTATTATTCCTACACCATCCATTTGAAAATAGGCTCGATTGAAAAATTACTTGTACGTTTATTTTTTCCACTAACTTTGTCAATTGAATTTTCCATTTGAGGTTATAAAATCTATTATTTTGATACTTTATAAATTAAACACAATTAGCCTGCTATAAATATACCGACTTTAACAACAAAAATATTCACCATGTAATTTCTACAATCTTATGGAAAAAATGACAAAAATAACGTTTACATTCACTCTAAGTCGATTTATGGATTACAAACTGAAGATAATATTTTGCAAGTATACAAATTATTAAAGCAGTAAGCCATATCTATATTGGGTACAAATTTGCTAAGTATGCATTACATATTATCAAAAATATGCAGTGAAATGCCAAAATATCCCATTTCTTAAGCGCGTATAAAATCCGGGTTTTAGAAAACGTGTGAATTCAAATCGGCTTCGCACTTTTTGTTACCTGTGACTATTTTTATATCGTAGTACATGGTTATACGATTTCATAAAAATATTGACCTATGTACTTTATTTACGATATAAAAAGTAATTAATCAAAATCTAAAAATAAATGCGTAAGCAATTTTTCGATCGAGCATATTTTCATATGGATGCTGTAGGAAAAATTAAAATCCAAACAACCCCATTTTTTTATGAAGAATGTCAAACATTCTGCAGTTCAACATCATCAAAAAATATTTTGCCAAATATGTGCACTTTTCAAAAAAAAAATATACTCACACTACTTATTGATTTTCCCTCGTATTGTGGATACATTTAAATGAATATTAGTAAACTTGCAAAAATGCAAGAATATGTATGCACTCAAGCCATCATGTAACACTGCGTGATAGGTTGTTCACTTTAATTATTAATTATTTTTAATTTACTTTTTTCTATTCCTTCATCCAAATTTATGAGATAATGCAAACCAATATCTAAATAAATTCTAATTTATTTTATATCCTAATTGGTAAGTAAGGTGGAAAATGGTGGAAAATATTTTATTTCTGATTATGCGGTATCTGATTCTCGTACACAGGAATGTTCATAATGAATAACAAACAACCGTATGTGCTCCGCATATTTAACGATAAGAATATCTCACAAACTGAATTTATTGCGCATTTTTAAATGAATTTTACATAAATTCGAAAAACAAGTTTCAAAATTTACACAATGAAATTAAAAAGGAGTTTCTGGTCTTTCCTTAATCCATTTTGAAATTCCCTCCAATGAGAAAACCTTTTCCACCAATTTTGACAAGTTGGGATATTTATCTTTCAACAAGTCAGTGTTCTCGTCTCCAAGGAACTTTGCCCAATTGGAGAGATGATTTGCAGCAAAGATATCTGTCCAGGTTAAACTGGGTCCGACCAACCATCCAGACTCACTTTTTGAAATGATAGCCTCAAATTTCCCAAAGTAGTTAGGTCCATGCTTTTCTTTGAGTTCTAATAATTGCGCTGATTTTGCAACTTCATCGGTGGAGCGGTACCAGATAATAAATTCTGTAGGAGATCAAGTTATACGCAAAGTTATCTTTTAACGGGGCAAATGTAAAATTAATGAAATTTTAAAAATTCCGAATTGCACAAATAAATTTTACTATTAAAATAAAAACAATTAAATGCTAACCTTGCGCAAAATCTTTCAAGGCATCCACATACTCGTCGCATTTAGCGGCATCTTCCTCCGTCTTGGCGTCAAGATTAAATTTTTTTGCGAGGTATCTTCCAATCGCGGCGACTTGCGCGAGGACAAACGAAGGTCCAGATTTACCCGGACGTACCTCCAAGACGGGCATAGTGCCCCAGGGAAGTGCTAAAATATGTGCAAATTTTTTATTACCAATCAGTATGTATTGCATGCGCAAAACTCGTTAGTCTGTAAATTTTACAATTTTGCAAACATCAAAATAATACTTTGCATATTTGCCAATTTAACAGCTTTACCAAACCAGAATATATTTTGCAAACAAATTTGCATAACGATTCGCGTTTGTCTTGTAAAATTGTGGCAATAATTTTCTTAAGTAAGAAAATCATTTTAAAATTATTTTTTGCTTACTTGCTTTCTTCTCTGGCCAACTTGCATCTTGTGGAACTCTCTCGTCGATATAGTCAACTCCAGCAAATGCAAACATTAATCTAATTGGTTCTGCGAGTCCACGGAAATCAAAATACGTAAGTTTATACGTTTCTGAAGCACTCATTTTCAATATTCTTCTTTTTTTACAACGATTTAATTTCACAGCTTTAAACAAAACGATGCTTCTGTCACGATCAGATGTCTAACTAAAATAAGTTGTGAGATCTAAATATGACTTGTGGATGTGTGTGTAGCTCTCTCACAAAAAACGAGCACCGATCAAGGTTACACCGCTGCTGGACATGCAATTATTTATGATGCATACCAACAAAATAAGGTGACTGGTGGGACCGGTTATTATTATTATGCACCGAAGCATGAACAACTTAACTGCAGAATTATGGACTGATGTGTATGTACACTGTGTATCATGTGAATTAATTCACTCTAATCAAAGTTTTTCATACAGATATATACTTGCCCGTAAATATTTCAACTGGTAAAAACTCTGATTTCATTTTCACTACATAGAAATATTATATGCGCATATTTCCTCGAGTATGATTTATAACGTGTTTTAAGTAAACATTAACGTGAAACAGGAATGTAGAATTTTAATCTGAGATTCCCCATATAAATGTGTGAACATAGATTTATGTATGAGTGCATTCAATTAAGATTTGCAAAAAGAGGAATAAAAAATAATTTCTTAAATGTTACAATTACATGATTGTAACAGCTAATAGATAAGTGGAATACCTGCATATGAAAATTATTGTGTTGTTCTCCTCAACTATGCACAAAATGTCATCTCTTTTACATTAACTAATAAAATAATGGGGCTATTCTGTTTCGCAGGTTATGATATCCAGGGGCCCGTTTTTGGAATAGGCGAGCTAGGCAACGGTCTAGGGGCAGAATTCTGGGCGCCGACAGGCGCCACCGTCTGCACTAGAGAGAATAGGCTTGCTGAGTAACAAAAATTATCAACTAATTATCAATATTAATTATTAATAATTTGGCTTGGGGCGCCAAATGAAGGTTGCCTAGAGCGTCGTACTGCCTAGAACGGGCCCTGAGGTTATCGCACAAGCAGAATTTTCGTAGCAATAAAGTAAAAATCCGTCACAAATTTTATGTGCAACTTTGTCCAATTTTTGTCATGACTCAGATTATACGATTGTCAATGCATAAACTGTAGTATATCATAACATGGCAAACAAACAAAGTATGGTCATAATTCAAAGTATTCATGTAGTTAACATAAGCCACAAATATACATATTAAATATTTGATATTTCGAATCCAGATGGCAAAATCCCACGTAAAAAATCTGTGTCTCACCACAGGATGCGGAATAGGTCAGGCATCTAACTACTAGATACGTGTACACAAGTGTGAAACGATCCTTTAAATGGATCAATTTGTATTATTGAGAAATCATCAATGAAAACCTCTACTGAGGAAAAACAGACAATTCGCCAAACTATTTGAACAGATTGTGCATTACATATTTGTTTCTTCTAGTTATATATATCTTACATAAATAAATGCATGTTACTAAGAAATTTATGTAGACAGGGTTCCGAAGTACATTTAACAATAATAGACACTTCCCTCACAATTTTTGATAATGTTGTTATTCAATTTTAAAGAAATCTTATTTTTGAAATTAACAAATTGTGTATCATTGGCACACCAAAATTTTTTTTACATATATAACGAATGAGATCATTGTTTGATAATTTGATCGATTTAAAAATGTCATGCAACCATGAAAATCTGTGCAACCCTGGCATAAATAAACCAAAGAATAAATGATTTTCTCCGTATGGTGTAGTCAACGACCTAAATAAGTACATAAAATGAGATAATCCTAATACCATGAATAACCGCATTAATGTTTCAAAGAAATAGTTAGATACCACGGAGAAAAATCCATTTAAAAGGATGCACACCAAGAAAAAAGATAGCATTGTGATCTTAATCGAGAATTCTACCAGACCAGACTGGGATAGGGGGAGTGGCGGATTTTGACACCGTGTTTCCGCACAGTTTATAGAATTATAGGGCTCCCCCTAGCCCCAGGAGTGGGAGGGGTTTGCATTGATGATGAGACAAGTATCTCCCACATTGGGTAAATAAAAATACAACTTTAAAAATTCGACTAACTAAATTATGGAAAAAATATATGAGTTTTTAATTAATTTCAGATGGAATTGCGAATATCGTGTGTATCTAGAAGTTCGGATCGAATAGTGATTATTAACCAATTTTTCATCGTGTGTAAGACGCCTTTGCTTGTAAAAATTTTCAAATTTCTTGATGAATTTATTTTTCTTTAGAAATTTCCAGCATCGTTCCAACACCAATTCCATTCTCCATGACGTGCTCCTGCAAATTTGCCCATTATATTTTGGTATGGAAAATTTGCACATTTACATATATCAAAAGCTTTCCAAATTTGGCATTTTATCAGACAAAATTGAGTAGAGTTTTGAATAGAGTGATGATTAATAAATTTCCTTAATTTGTATCACGCATCAAGGTTTAAATAAGTTAGATTCCTCTAAAAAACTTATTTTTTTTTTAGAAATTGTCAGTGTCTTCTTGGCACCTAAGCTTCACCTGAAAATTTTCTCATTATATTTTGGTATGGAATATTTGTACGTTTGAAACAAAAACTTTATTAATTTTTATTTTACCAATTTTTCCTAGGACTGGGAAATACTTGTCGCATGATCAATTCAAAATCCTTGCACACCTAGGCCGTGGGGAGCCCTATAATTCTATCAACTGTGCGGAAACACGGTGGCAAAATTGCCAAATTTTCCTAACTGTCTACATAAACCCCTTTAAAAGCTCAACCATATGCTGATTGATAGTATGTATGAATGAACATATTTATCTAGATTGTTGTTAAACGTGTTATGCAGTATTTTAGGGTATATTTCATTCCAAGATTTCCAATTTAACCTGTTTATTTAATTTTAGAACAAACGTAAGCTTATTTGACAGATAGAATGCTTGTGGTGCGATACGAAACTTTAATATTGTAATACAACTGTAGCCGTAATAAATACATTAGTCAATTTTTAGCAACATAGTTACTGCCGTCCCTCATACTTGCCCTAGTTGCAATTTCAATTACATGCCTTATTAAAGAAACCCTATCTTTTGGACACCTCGTCCCAAAACATGCACATATGTACCACAGGTACCTACATAAGTACCTGTGTACGACTTATTTATTTTATAATAATTTTACATTCAAACTTTGCGAATATACATTTCAAATACGGAAAATAACAATAAAAATGTATACAACAACAGGTATTTATGTAAGATTGAAGATACATATAGCCAATCTAGAATATGGTGCACATTACATTCGGCACGGAACGTAAGAAATAATACGAAATGGATATTAAACTTTCTTTAAAACTGCATGTATAAAAATTAAGCAGTAAATTTTGATATATTCTCGTCAATTCGGTTCTTCAAAAAATTTCAAAATCTATTTTTGGGGATCAGTAGCCGCGGAAGATAATTTAAGATGTCCATTGTGCATGACTGAGAGGATCATGTCAACATGAAGGCCAAAATATCTCTGAAGATACAATTGTGGTCTGTATACAGAGAGTGTCCCATTTATACGTATATTTTTTTGAGGGCGCGTAGTTTTAAAACTGGACAACGTAACGTAAAAAGGTTTTTGGGATTACGTTGAGCAACATCTCAGGTATAGCAGTGATTTTTGTTTGCATAAAAAAGTTAAAAATGACTCCACCCTGTCCAGTTGAAGTGGAGGTACTCGTGAGAGACTTTTCCATTCGGGGTTACTCCGGAAGTGTGATATTAAAAGAACTCAGAACACGCGGATACAAGATTAATTTACCCCTAATTTATAAAATACGATATGGGGAAGGTATTAGAAGAGAAGCTGTGAATATGGGAGTGGTCCCTCCACCCAAAAGATGACCAATTACGAACGGACGAAAAAACTGAAAAAACGACTCCATTGTTTAACTAACCATGAGAACCCCAAAAGCATACGCAGTATGGCTAAGCTGTTAAAATCCATTAAAATAACTATCCACCGAGTGATTAATAGGGATTTAGGGAAAGTCAAGAGAAAGAAGACCAAAGTTCACGCTTTAAAAGAAAGCCATATCCAAAATCGCCAAACTAACGCAAGAAAGCTATATGAAGGACACCTAGCGGGAGGGAGGGATGAATATGTCCTTACAATCGACGAAGCACTCTTCAGGGTAGATGACTTTAATGGGACAAGGTCAATATGCTACGTGCGTCATGGAGAAAACGTCCCTATTCAATGGGTATGTCAGTGAAGGAAAGGTTCGGTGACCAGGTCATGATCATTGGTGCATTAAGTGGGCGGGGTCCACTGCCGCTGATAAAAGTTCCACCAAATGTCAAAATAAATGCACACAGATACATTTATGACGTTTTAGTGCCTTTGGTTGAAAAAGAAATTCCAAAACTGTATACTGGGGAGGCGGAGAAAGTTTTTATCCATCATGACAGAGCTTGGTCGCACACCACCCGGAAAACTCAACAGTACGCAGCAGGGCCGTAGCGAGGTTTCGTCCGGCCTGGAGAGTTTACCCGTGGTACGGCCTCATGTTTTTGGTTAAAAACTTACCAAATTTTTGTAATAATGAACGTATGAATTATATGTATATAACATCCATCAATAAATAAAAATAGAAGTGCTAATATATAACCAAAAACGTTTACAAATTACTAGTAATGTAGTTTTCATGTTATGTCTCCTCCAGAATCTTAAAAAACTTCAAGATTATTTGTACGGGTTGAAATTTAGCACATAGTTGACATTCTTTCTGCAGTAAACATTCTTTCTACAGTACGCCAACTTAATTCACTGTTTTTAAGAAATAATTAAAGTTGATGAAATTCACCATTCACTATGGATGTGTTAAAACTTTTTTCTGTATATAACTTCAGAGGTCTAAACTTAATTAAAATAAAAAAATTCCTACACTGTATAATTGTTTGTATAGTAATATGCTCTAAGCTAAGCTAAATTTTCTATTTCATTGATAAAGTGTGATAAACATACAAATCTAAATGAAATACCAGAACTTAACTGAAGCTATACGATAAGGTGTCCAATTGTTACGGACAATTTGGTCTTGACAGTTTGGTATCGTATTACTTGGTATAAAGTTACTTCGGTACAATTATAATTTGGTACGTATTGTTTGGTATGAATAGTAGGATATGATAAATTTGGTTCAACAATTTTGGTATGGACTGTTTGGTGTGGCAAATTTGGTAAGGAAATTTTGCTACGAACTTTTATTTTTCGAATTTTGGTGCATTCTTATTCCTATCTTTTTCAATTATTTCCTCATTGAGTTCACCTTATCAGCCCGAATCAGCTTCATTAAATATTTTTTTAATAACTGGTTTTCAATTTAATTAAAAGACTCTTCCACCAGCAGGTTTTTACTGAATTAAAAATGGACAAGTTCATCCCCGAGGAGGAAATGAAATATGTTCAGGCTGCGAAGAAATTGAAAAATTCTGTAGGAACATACAATTCTACTCCACGCCTGGAATACATCCGGAGAATTGCCTACTAAATTAGGTTTCAACAGTTAAATAATAACTTTAAGTTTAATAAGCATTTATTATGATTATTATTGTTCCGATAGCATTTATGATAAATAACTTATTATTTTATTATGAGATTTTACGTATTTTGAGGTGAGAAGTAATTTATTTTTTCACTATAAAATTTAAAAGTTAATTCAAGCCCAAATTAATTACAAAACGATTTTTATAAAATCTACTCGTACCCAATTATTAGTTTGTCCATACCAAATTTACCGTACCAAACTGTCCATACCAAATTGACCGTACCAACTAATGGCATACCAAATTGTCCTAGAGTGGTACCAAATTGTCCATACCAAATTGACCGGACCAAAATGTTCGTACACCAAGCTATACCCTTTATTGTTTTTATCAGCTACAAAAATTATTAAAGGAATATGCCTGAACGTATTAGGGATTGACGGATTAGGGAGGAGATTAGGGATTGTAGATTACGTATTTGGCGATGATTTGGGAGTTTTATTTTTATTGCATTGGATATAGTATTATGTGTCAGGGTTATAAATGTTAATTTATGCAATTGCATTTAAAGAACTGGATGACCATCACGAACATAAATATCCCTGTCACGATGACAGTGATCAGAATTAAATCAGAATATCAGAAATACATATTCACTTAAAATATACAACGAAATACAAAATCCCAGGTTTCGTGAACGTATTTAAACTGGTCGTATGTAGTTAATACATAATTTCTCCTTCACACTGTATTGATACAAAATTGGAATTTACCCTAAGAATTACAAAGGAATGTATAAAAACTAAAGTAAATTTTTGATTGTGCTAATGTCCAAATGGATATTGTATGAGGAACTATAAACCAAAAAGCCTAATTTTATTGACATAATCAAAAATCAATTCTTCCATTTGATTAGAATTTGTTATGCTCGAAAATCGGTCTGGGTATGAATGTTCGGTATGGCATGAATGTTCAGTATGGTATCAATTTGCGGTATGGTATGAATGTTCGGTATGGTATGAATGTTCGGTATGGTATGAATTTGCAGTATGGTATGACTGTTCGGTATGGTGAAAATTGCTTGATAATCATGTAAAAATTACTTAGCAGTGATATAAAAATTACATGCAAAAAAGAAAACAATGCGTCATAGCAATATCACAAATACATATCACATAAAGAAATATAGATAAAAAGATAGTAATTGTAACTAAGAAGAATTACTAAGAAGAGAAAATTATTTCTAATTAGAAAAAATTATTGTGAACCAAATTTGTTCCGATTAATATCTAACGGTGGTATTCTCAATGCAAAATTTTGACCGTGAGTGGGAGTGGCCACTCCCACTCGCCATGTTATAGAATAGGAAATGTGAGTGGCCACTCCTACTCACGGTCAAAATTTTGCATTGAGAATACCACCGTAAGCGTAGTCCCTATCACCTTCGCATTGAAAGGCTATACAAGATATTTCATAAAATTATACAACTTAAGAAGGGCCTGTCTTTAAGATGGGCTTAACTGCTTGTAACTGATTAACTGTTAAATTAGTAAGCATTTTTTTAAAGAATTTCTGTAAAAAATCTCCTTTTTTTGCCAACAGTATTTGAGAAAGAAATGATGTAAGAAATACGTGAGGGTACTAAATTCGAATTTGAGGTTTGTTAGATTGTGTAATTTTTTAAATTTGCATTGCGGAACTTTAGAAAATTGTGTGAAAAAAGAATTCATCAAATTGATCATTAAGCATAAGAGTAAAAGTAAAAAACTACTATATTTCGTGTTTATTTCAAATGCTTAAGAGATAAAAAATTTCCACTTTACATTAGTAAAAGAATTATGCTTTAGGCTGGGATAAAAATAAACAGAACCTGTACAAATTCAGTTTATTGCTGTGTTTTAATGTCTTTGTTGTACCGCATGGGCATGCCTCACAAAGAGAAGAAATTAATACAGCAAACAAAAAAAAATAAATTTGTAAAAAATTAGATATTAAAATTTCAAAAATCATTTAAAGTTTATATTTACGATTTTGTGTTACTATATATATCCATATCAAGTATATAAGGAGGAAAACCTGCTCGAAAGTTTGCCAATATTCTCCGCTACTGGAGCAATCATGAAATTTATTGTATTAAACAGTACCGGGGTCAATTGTGGTATGGGCATTAAAATTAAAGCCAATTTTGCATGGACAGCTTATGGGGAACTAGCTCTATTATTAATACACATACCATAGTTTCTTGATATAATTTTAACCAATCGAGAAACAAGCTAAATTCCTTTGCACAAAGAACTCAAACACTAATTCTAATAAACAACTAAAATTTAATTGGAAATGCCAGATTAATTTATAGTCCATTTATAGTCCTTTATTTCCTGAAGAAAATACGTAGGTTTATGTCACTTTTAATTTAGTTATTTTTTCTAAAACTTAAATATATGAAAATCATCATTTTATCTAGTGTATAACCCGCC